CGGGGCTGCGGGTCCTGCCGGGGATGGAGCAGAGCAGGCAGGGAGCCGCTGCAGGGAGTTTATTAACTGCAGGGCTCGTTATTTCTCCTTTAGTTATCACCGTTAACGCGGCACCGTGGGCTCGCGCCGCGATGTTGCATCCATTTGTGGGCCAGCGATCGAAACACGATTGCCTCCCTCTTGGGCTGCGGGTGAGCAAACCAGCAGCGCTGCCGGCTGGGGAGAGCCTGGCTGGCAGGGAGCAGGTCCCCAACGTCACCAGGGCCAGCCACTGCCACGGTGACAAGGTCGAGCACCCACGTCCTGGCGTGTCCCCACCGGCTCACCTGTGTCCCAGCACGGTGCAGCCCCTCTCCTGTCACCTGCTTCCAGTGCAGCCTTGTGAAATAAAACACTTCCAGGTGTTAACAGGAGCGGATTCTCCGGTCCCGGGGCTGGTGACAGTGGCTTTTCTCTGCAGCAAAGCCGGGATGTTCGAGGGCTGTAAACACCTCGGGGGGGTTTCGTGGAGTCCGCTAACCCAAGAGCGAATTTTGGGCATTTTTTTTCCTCTCCCAAATGAAGCCTTGACAGGGAAAAATTGCACTACGTTCCCGTGCCACCCCATTCATGACAATAAACGGTGACTGTATCTGCAATCCTTTTTCTGTTGGATGTGACTGGGGTTTTATTAAAGCGTGGAGCTCCTGCAGTAACGGAGCCCTGAGTGATTCCTGCTGTTGCAGGCAAGTGGGCTGAGATACGTCCTGAGGACAAAATAAAATCAAGAGGAGGGTGGAGGGGAGAGGAAGCCCTCGCAGTGAGACCGGGGCCACTTTAAAATATGGACCGTATGGGATGAGAGAGGGAAAAGAGCCTTGAAGAGAAGCTGATGGGCTGGAGGAAGAGGAAGAGGAGGAAGAAGAGGAGGAGGAAGGGCTCCCCAATCCAAGTGGTGCCGGAGACACGGGACAGTGGCTCATGGCCCTCCCATTGGCAGACCAATGGTTTCAAACCCGGCGAGCCAAATGGTTCCACCGGGAGCGGGGCTGCAGCCAGCCCAGAGCCGGAGAGGGGGTTTCCAAGCGGCTTAAAATCCACGGAGCCCCGCTGCGTCTGCCCCCCGGCCCTTGCTCGGGACCAGACCCCACCCAGGGAGGTTTGTCTGGCTGATACCTTTCCCTGGCAAACACCGCATGCACCGGCCCTGCCACAGCCTCAGCCCCCCCAT